GAGAGAGAGAGAGAGAGAATGAGCAAATGCAGGGGAGGGGGGTGATGTTTATTCACCATCTGGCCTACAAAGGAAAGTGAGCCTCATAAGAAGAGAACAGAATACGATCAACACCTGAAACATACACAGCCACTTATATCTCAACACGGAAACTCTCCAATTAGCATGATGGCCGCTCCCCATCGCCTATCTGCTAAAGTTGGTCTGCCCTAACATCTTCTGCCTCCCGCATGGTTTAAATATATTATATTATTATTTTATTTTTCCAAATGAGAACAAGTTTCCAGTGAAAGGAAGCGAGAGGCCTACGATACTTTTTCCTCTTCACCGCGATGAAAGCTGCCGCTAAGCCCCGCCCCCCTCGCCCTCTCCGGCCAGTGGCTGCCCGCGGCACACACACACACACTCAGACACAGACACACGCACACACGCAGCCAACACTTGGCCGAATGCAATGCCACTGCACGGACACACTACACACCCTGCATTCGGCGAGGTGTCAATGGGCGAGTCTATTTTCTGAACTGTCTGGGTCAGGCTGTCTGGCTAACAGACGAAGCCATCAGACTGTCTGACTCGTTTCAAGGCCTGGCGTGGACATTTACAAAAACATCGAATTCGGGCTGGTATCACGCAGGGCCATTCAAAAGGAATTTTGTGTGAATTCGAGGAGTACTTTTTTTGGAAACAGCTGCGGTTGAAAAATGTAGACCATGATGATGATTTAGTTGTGAGAATGTGAATGTGGCTCCCTGTCGATGCATTTTGTCTGGTGTATATTACGACCAAGGCCAAGAGGAGTGTGAAAATGTGGAAGTTTTCGTCGTAATTCATCTCCCTATCTTTTAGGCCTCTTGCCCAACGGGCCAGATGAAATGTCTGTTTAACTTCTGGATACATCGGTCGGGCCAGAGTCAAAAGGAAATAAGGATACTTCGACGATGACATCAATTGAAAAACGCTGTGCCCATTTGCTCTTTGTCGTTTTCCTTTCAACTGCTTTTGATACAGGTACAGTATGCTTTGTTAAATTTATCTCAGATCTGCAGGCGAGATATGGTTTCTATTTATAGCCTACACCCATGCATTTACCTTTGAACGGGGCCTACCGTGCTGCACAAAATGTCAACATTGGGTCATAGTGAACCAGTGATCAACTGTACTTTTGAACACTTCCCAATATTTCGTTTTGAAAGGCGAGATAGAACGGTATAAGTATAAGTATAGACTTGGGGCCCTAACTGTGGGCCTGTCCTAGCTTTAGGCCTAGATCTAGATTCTAGGCTGCACACCTACTTTTTTTAGAGGAGAGCCTGTTTTATGTGTGTAGATCTAGAATCTACACCCTAGATATCTAGATCTAGAATCTAGATCTTGAAATCAAGACCCCCAGTCTCTCTGCCCATCGGCAATGACCTCACCATCGTCAGTCAAGCAATCAGTCAGTCTAGACAAGTCAGAATAATGATGGCCAAGGCTAAAATTGACGTGTAAATTCGCCTCAGGGCCCAGACGTTTTTATAGGCTAGAGGGCCTCCTAGACTAGCGTAGATCTCTAGATCTGATCAGTTCGTGAGACAAGACTGGCCCAGGACCGTTGCGTTTTAGAACTGTTGACGATAAATTCAGGCCTAGAAACCTAGAAATCTATCTCTATTCTATTTGATTTGAGTTTTGAGAAACCAT